TTATGTTCAGTTCATTCCGGACTTCGGTCCGATGCCGGGCGGGGCCCAAGTTATTCCGGACTTCGGTCCGATGCAGTAGGCGGGGCCAAAGTTATTCCGGACTTCGGTCTGATGCCGGGCGGGGCCCAATGCAGTGGGCGGGGCCCAAGTTATTCCGGACTTCGGTCCGATGTCGGGGGGGGGGGGGGACCGATGCAGTGGGCAAGACCCAGTATGTGTTATATGTGTTATTATATGGTATGTGGTAGTTTGGGGAGACTCACTAAGCTTCGTGCTTACGGTTTTCAATTTTGGTTTCAGGTACTCAGTTTTCAAAAGAGGAGCTTGGGAAGATTGTAGTGCACACACCATTTGTTCAGCCTGGGATGTTTATACTCTGATATACTTGACAGTTGTTATAATATTTTGAGATACATTGTTTATGATTTTTATGCGATATATGATGACTATGGTTTTATTACTGATTTAAAACGAAATTTTTGGACTGTATTTTTGGGATGTTATAAGTTGGTATCAGAGCCTTGGTTTGAGGGATTCGGGCACACTTTCGGGTGTGTCTGAACTCAAACTAAGGAAGTGGTATAAAGTTTTCAAAAGAAAAACCATGTTTACAAAAGGATTTTGAGAAAGAGAAAACAATTTTAAAAAAAGTATAAAGAAAAGAGTTTTAGAAAAAGCGAAAAGAATTTTGAAAAAGAGAAAAGGGTGTGGTGCATGCAATCAGCCGAGCTCAAGTAAGTACTCCCAAATTACCCATACAAGTTTATGTTATGATATGTTTATCAGCTTATGAGAATTGCATGCTAGTTTAAGACTAAGGATCTAGGAAGGATGCCTTATGTGCCTATTATATGTGTATCAGCTTTATGAGGATTGCATGCTAGTTTAGGACTAAGGATCTAGGAAGGATGCCTTATGTGCCTGTTATATGTATCACAGCTTTATGAACTGCATGCTAGTACAGATTAGTCAGGGCAGTCTGAGAGAGATATGATTGATTATGTTTACTCGATGCTCGAATGTTGCTTGCTTTGTGCTTTTAGGAGTCTTAGTTATCTTTTACTAACTAGTAAATGAATATGTTACGTTACATATTGCAAGGATTAAATAATTTCAGAAGGTTAGGTCTAGCTCTATTGCACAACTCTTGTTTGAGTCCAACCGTTGTAGGGTAGGATCTCTCATTCGAAGAATTATCTAGTCTTAGTAATATGTAATAATATTCACGAGCTAGTTAGGGGGAGGTAGCAGGGACTTCTTATGTAGCTGATAGCGGAGAGTGGGTTGATGATTTCCCTAGGGCAAGCCTAGGAAGAATTTAGTATGAGATCAGCAGCAATAGTAGTAGTAGAAGGGACTTGGTGGAGTCAAGGCAGTTCTTGAGGAAAGTACGGATAGATGTGGAAGGTAGTATGGGTTCGTACTACTGAAAGTAGAGGATCCGTACTCGAATCAAGGAAGGCTGGGATAAGACCAGGGAACTTGTAGTGTGTAAGATCCCTTGAGTTATGATGAGTATTATGATGACTGTTATGGTATATTACCGAGTATAGTGACGCTATGTGGTAGAATAGATGGCAGTTCTGGTGCCGGCGATGGATCAGGCTCGGACTCTGGAGCCGGGCATATTGATGGCCAGATGATGGAGCTTATTCCATCTGAGAGTACGCGCAGTATCATTGACTAGACTCCTGTGATCTTCAGTATGATCAAGGAGGGCATTTTGGAGATTTGTGACGAGAGGATGAGTGCACTCTGCACTGAGATAGCAGCCAGGATTGGGATGCGTACGCTGATGATTCGGGAGTTTAGAGCTTGAGAAGCTCCAGATGATCATGGGGGTTAGGGACCCCATTACTAGCAGCAGATGGTTGGCAGATGTCGCCAACGCTTCTCGTATTAGCCGTTGCCCGAAGGGGACAAGATCCAACTTACTTCTTGTCTCTTGTAGGACAAAGCATGTGATCGATGAAAAGAGGTTAGTAGTGAGTTGGGTGATGTTGTAGTTGATGTTATGTCGTGGGATGACTTTTCGACCAGATAAAGGGGCAGAGTTGCCCAGAAGATTGAGGCGCAGCAGTTGGCACAAGAGTGGTTGGATCTCCACCAGACGACTGAGACTGTGGCAGAGATCACTGTCAAGACTCGGGAAAGAGCTTATTTGGTACCACAGTATGCAACAGATGAGGAAATGAAGAAGGTAAGGTAACAGGACATACTCCAAATGATAGCAGGGAGATCGTGAGTATCTCGGGGTGCAAGACCCTGAATGATATGACTTCTAGAGCACGAGAACGTGGTATTAACTTGGGGCACATTGGCAAGAGGGAATCATATCAGTTTCTTATACAGAAGGGTCTCGGGAGGAGACCCAAGAGTTAGGATTAGCTTGTGAGAGGCCAGCAGGGCCAGATTCGGTGCAACACTTGCGGGAAACTGCACAAGGGACCCTTTCGTTCTAAGGGTCTGAGTAAGTGTAACTCTAGGTTATCCTCTGTTGTGTTTGAATTATATTTTCAAGAGAAGTCATATACCAATTGCGTACCGAGAATTATTAGCGGATAGCGATAGATCATTTTCCAAATTGCGGGATTGGAATAGTACAGTGTCATTTTGGTTTATTCCAAGACTGAGGAGCAGCACGAGGAGCACCAGAGGTAGGTGCTAGAGACTCTGAGGAGGGAGAGACCTTTTGCAAGGTACTCCAAATGTGAGTTCTGGTTGCGTGAGGTGCAATTTCTTGGGCACCTTTTCAATCAGAAGGGTATTCTAGTCGTTCCAACCAAGATAGAGGCCGTGATGCAGTGGAAGATTCCGAGGTCTCCAATTGAGATTTGGAGCTTCCTGGGTCTAGCGGGTTATTACCGGAAATTTATTCTGGTTCTTGGAGGTGGTGTGATCTTTTGGACTGACTAGTATTGAGACACTAGCAATGGTAAATGTGGTTTTCAACAAATTGGGCATATAATGGTAAGAAGGATTGGGAATCCTTCCAGTATTGTGTGTCGTAAGACGTTAGTTGAATCAAAGTGGGGGAGAATCATCCAAGGATTCAGAAGTAGGAGCAATTTTGAAACTGGGATAACTTTCGCATCTTTGTTTGGAAGGAAGACAGCCCAAGCGGCTGTATGGGTTGAGGATAGTGTGAGATGGAAGTTCAGAAAAACTTGCCAATAAGGAGATCGCGTTACCGTAATGTTAGCTAGAAAGCCTTAGGGAATCAGGTTGGGGATTCCAGTCAGGACATGAGTTCAGCTGAGTGCGGGTCAAGCGCGTGTTCGATCCAGTATGGAAAGTGTTGTAAGTCTGCGGGTGTAGCCGTAACATTCACTAGCAGCCAGATAGTGTTAGAGTGTCGTAAGTCTGCGGGTGTAGCCGTAGCTTTCACTAGCATCCAGATAGTGATAGAGTGTTGTAAGTCTGCGGGTGTAGCCGTAGCATTCACTAGGTTGGTAGATAGCGTGAGTTCGTTGTTAGGACGTGGAAAGAACAGTAGTACCCACCAGCTCGGGTGTAGCAGTGAGGATATGGAAATCCACGGATTGGATTTCGGAATTACCCAGACGGATTAGACCTGGTTAAGCCAGTGATAAGACTGTAGAAGCACCACTACAACTATGAGAGCAAGGAAGCAGTGGACTGCTTAAGGTCATTTATGACATAAGGCTACCAATGGTCATGTAGCAATCACTTTTAGCCTTGGGTTTGGTGATGTCAGGATTCGACGCATGGAACCAATCAGTTAGATCAGAAGGCCGTTAGGGCCACAGTGACAAGATAACTAGTAGCAACTAGTTCCAGAGAAGGATTTCGTTCGGAAGTCGTGTGAGGCGACTAAGTAGGGAGTCCTTTGGCTCCGCAGTCGGGCTGGAACCCGGTATTTCAGATGACTGATGGATGAATTGAGACCAGGAAGGTCTCGATAGATTTTGGGAAGCAACTATGTAGCAGCATACTGCTTCAGGCAGTTTAGTGTTCGGGCAGTTTCAACATTTGGGTAGTATTGGTAATGGTGTTTTAGGTTGAAAGTACGGACAAGATAGCTGGTTGATTGGGAAGGGACAAGTCACTCACAACGGGATTAGTTGAGCCTAGGCCAAGTATAAGTGATCTATAGGGATAATTAGGATTTGTGATTTTGTTTTCTAGTGGGAGCCTCGAGTTATCGGAAGTTGAGTAAGCACCTGAGAGACAAGTGAACTGGTTTCAGTGTTAATGATTCAGTATGGGCAGTCTGTCATGGATTTAGACCATCTCGAGACAGCAGATTTCAGACGGAGTAGATGTGATCTTGTTGCGAGGAATTCATTTATCTACGGATTTGAGAGCCCTGCGAGGGTTGGTCGCGACTACCCTGAGAAGGCTAGGGTGTGCCCAGGATTGTGGCCATGTTACTTGAGTAGTTTGGCGTGTAAGGAATGGTAAGGAATGATTTCGAGGACGAAATCTAATTTAAGTGGGGGAGAGTTGTAACACCTCGTTTATTAAATAATTAAATAAATAAAATTTATGAACGAATAGTAGCCCTAAAATAAATAATTATATATCAAAGGTTGGTCTCGGAGAGCTAATTATCACAATTTTAGGAGTTGGGGGTTAAAAGTGTAAAATACGGATTTAAATTGTAAGTATTATGGAAGGCAGGGACTAAATGGTAATTATTGGGACTTAATTTGAAGAGATTTTGGGAGCTAAGGGGTGTTTGGTAACTAACGGACTCATTATGAAAAGAATTATGGGAGCGGGGGTTAATTGGTAAATTAAGGATTTAAATTGAAGGAAAAGGAGAACTAGGGGGTAAATGTGTCATTATGGGAAAAAGGATTAGGGTTCGGGGTATATAACCCTTAACCCCCTCCACCGGTAAACCCTAACCCTAAGCAAAAGAAGCAGTCGCCATGCTTGGACCTTCCAGCCGCCACCCTCACCTTATCACCCCTCGTCCCAGCCGCTGCCTCCGTGAGGCCATAGTGGATCGCCGGCGACTACATGCGACTCCGATGACGGGCCTGAAGGCCGGTGCCGAGGCTACTGTTGTGTTTTTCCTTCTTCCGAGACCGCCCGCCGCTGCGCTGCCGAGCCTCCTACCGCCGCTCCTTCGCTATTGGATCGCCACCTCTTTCCTCTACTTCTTGCTGTTGGCATTGCTTCGTTCCACGGTGGTCTCCGCTCATCCTCCTCATCCCTTCTCCTCTCTAGTTCGTTGTTGCAACGCCGCCTTTAGCCGCTGTTGTGGTCGTGAGGGCTGCCGCTGCCGTCGTCATGCACCACCAAGTGGTGGTTGCGTCCAGATTTCCAAGCAAGTGTATACCAGTATCGTTGCTGTTTGACAAAGAAACCACCGCCACCACTGTGAGGTGGTGGCTGCCATCGAAACATCATCGTTGTCGCCGCCTTGAGCCACCAGGTGGGTGGCTGGAGCATTGTATGCAGTTTGAAGTATATGAGTGTGTGTTTTATCTAGCCGGAAAGTCGAGAATAGCCACCGCCACCACCATGAGGTGGTGGCTGCAGCCTTGTACCGCCACCGGCCACCACTAGAGTGGCTGTGTGGGTGTGTGTTAGAGTAGTTAGTGTGTGTGTTTATTTGTGGATTAAAAGCTTGTAATTGTAATTAGCAAAAGAGTAATGAAAAGAACCATAACCACCACCGTAAGGTGGTGGCCGCCGTGGTGAGCCGCCATTGACCACCACTACCCGAGGTGGTAGTGGGTGGTGCCCCACTAGCAAAACCCTAATGGACCTAGCAAAACCCTAATGGGCTTAAAGATTAATTTTGGGCCTATTCGGCCATGTTTGGGTGGAAACCCTAATTAGGGTTTAGAAAACCCTAATTGTGAGTATTTGGGCCTTGGACTTATTGGGACCCACCTTTGGGCCATTGGGATTGGATTGTGTATTAAGCCCAAATTACTCCATATCATTTATCTAGTAGAGTAAAGGACTTAATGGATTAAGTCCTTAATGGGTTAAGTAAGAAACACTTAACCCTAATCGTCATTTTATGTGAAACCCTAATTTCACTTGGGCCTTGAGTTGGGCCTTTCCATTGGGCATTGGTAATTGGTTTATTAATGGGCCATCCAAGAATAATCAAATGGACTAGAGTAATTAGTTGGGCTTTAGGGTAAGGCCCATATGAAGGATTGGGCCCAATTTGGAAAATTGGGCCATATGTTGGGCTTTGATTCCTAGTTGACTTTGGGCCTATGGATTGGGCCTTGGGCTTGAATAAGCCAAGCTTGGGGTAATGTAGTAATTATCCAAAGTATGTACTTATGGGTATGTAGTGGAACCCAATTATTAATTGGGTGTTATTCTGATGTTGACGGATTCGGGAATCCGTCATCCAGCAGCTAGGGTTTTCTCAGCAGGACTTCAGCAGTGTGAGGTGAGTTTCCTTCCAGTAGGAACGGGTCTACGACCACAATGTCGGCCCGTTTAGATGATAGTAGTTCCGGACTTCGGTCCGATGGCGGGGTGGTCCCGAGAAGTAGTTATGTATGCTTGATGTCTTCGTGATTCATGCATGTTTATGATATGTGTATATGTTTTGGACTCCGGTCCGATGTCGGGCAAGCCGGATGCAGTATATGTGATTATGTTATATGTCCATGTTTATGTTATGTTCAGTTCATTCCGGACTTCGGTCCGATGCCGGGCGGGGCCCGATGCAGTGGGCGGGGCCCAAGTTATTCCGGACTTCGGTCCGATGCAGTAGGCGGGGCCAAAGTTATTTCGGACTTCGGTCTGATGCCGGGCGGGCCCGATGCAGTGGGCGGGGCCCAAGTTATTCCGGACTTCAGTCCGATGCCGGGCGGGGCCCATAGTAGTGGGAAAGGCCCATTATGTGTTATTGTATGATATATGGTAGTTTGGGGAGACTCACTAAGCTTCGTGCTTACAGTTTTCAGTTTTGGTTTCAGGTACTCAGTTTTTAAAAGAGGAGCTCGGGAAGATTGCAATGCAAACACCATTTGTTCAGCCTGAGATGTTTATACTCTGATATACTTGACAATTATTATAATATTTTGAGATACATTGTTTATGATTTTTATGCGATGTATGATGACTATGGTTTTATTACTAATTTAAAACGAAATTTTTGGACTGTATTTTTGGGATGTTATACGGGACTTGAACTCTCGATCTCAAAGAGGGAAGACACCACCTGATACCGTTGGGCTAGAAATCCTTTGATAAAAAGAAGTTGTTAACCATAATATTTTAGCAAAAAGAATATATCCGGGATTTTAAAAATCGATTATGGATTAACCTATATAAAATCTTATATGTATTTCTATACAAGATTAAAATATTAATTAATACATGTTTGGATGTTTGAAATGTATTATATTTTTAATATTAAATTATAAAGTTAAATAATGTAAACGAACAAAATTTAATCTTTTAGAATCGTATTAATAAACGAACCCAAACGTATAAAAAAAATAATGTAAACATGTAAATGAACAAAATGTCAAAAAAAAGGAAAAAACAACAATAAATAATTGATATTGGATGATCGATAAATACTTGTGTTTTTAGCTTAATCTGTGTGTCAAATCAAAATGTCAAAAAAATAATGTTATATAATGTTAACGTACTAAACGTAAAAAAAATATTAAATGAAATATATTCGATCGTAACGTCAAAAAATTTAAAAAATTATAAATCGGAAAAATAATGTTAAATAAATTAAAACAGTAATAAATAATAATATTATTTTATATAATTTACATAATTTGATTTTAAAAAATTAAAATAGTTTTATAAATAATATATATTAACTTTATTAAAATAAAGAACAATAATAATAATAAAAAAGTTGGATGAGTTTGAAGTGATGGTGGAGGTTCATTTAATTGTTTCGGAAGCTTCTTTAAGAAACCGGTTCATGCTAGTTAATGATTGTGTCAGTAATTGACTTTAATCCCTACAAGGCACGAATAACAACACCCCAAATTTGCCCATGCAATTTTTGTACCCGATTGTTTTAGGCAAATGTAGATTGCTTAAATGAGGATGCATTGGGTTGAGTTTCTAGTGGAAAGTTTTAGAAATAAATGAATTATAAAAAAAATTACTGAATAAAAAGTTTATATAATTTTATATTTTTAAGAGTTTTCGGTTTGTCTTTCAAACATTCTCATAAAAATAGAAGTTGTAGTTTTCAACATAGCAGTTTTTAACTTTCAACTTCCAACTAACAATTAGTTTTGTCAAACATGTTTAGTATGAATATTCATAGTTGAATATTGTAAAGAAATTGATAAACACTAAACATAGAATTTACAACTTCAACAATTTCCTTAATAATGAGAAACCAGTTCGCTATACATGACAATTATAGCTCTAACCTCATTACTGAAACACCTACCCTACTCTCAAATACAAATCACTAAGAAACTATGAACATATGAAAAATATGAAGAAACCCTAGAAAAGGAAAACCCTCAACTGAACAGGAGAAAACGAGAGAATATACAAAGTGTGTGAAAGAGTAAAATGACTCAAATGAACTACACTGCACATCTGCACTCCTTACGTATCCAGGTCACCGATCCGACCCATTTAACAAAAGATTTGCGTGCCCAAAACAGCTAATTTGATGTTTATTGCTTCGCAGTCCACAAGATTTCACAAACAACAAAATATACCCTCGAAACAACTTACCTTACAAAACAACCACTTAAACACTTACCATATCAACCCTGCAAAATAAACACATATACAAAAGCAATCTGAAACCTAAATATTATTATGTTAAGTTTGAACAATTTTAATGATTGAGATATTTCAACACGCCAACTCAAACTTAACATCTGAACAACTTGATTTTTACCAAAAAGATCAATTAGACCAATTCTTTTTTAAAGAAACTCATGCTGTAAGCTAACCAAATTTGGTCAGAATATCAACATTCTGATTGAAGAACGAATCGTTACAATTTTAATAACTCCATTCATAACTTTTTCAAGAATAAAATGAAAATCGACCTAAAAATGTTTTTTCCTTTTCATGAAAAACAGGATTAATCGCAAAGTCATTATCACAAAAAAATGTTCATTAGATTTAAATTATTAACACCTAAGTCAAACAAAACTTGTAGAATCCAAACAACTTCATAAGTAATAGAACCTAAAGCTCTATACTCTTACTCACTTGAAGAGCGAGGAACAGTTGATTGTTTCTTACTCTTCCAAGAAACTAATGAAGTTCCAAGGAAAACTTGATATCCGATAATAGATATTCTCGAACTTAAAACTTTCGCCCACTCAACATCTATATATCCCGACAATGTAACATCCCAAATTTTCTAATAAATTTGAACTTTTTAAATAACATAAATCATTCATTTTACATCTTGTATTCAAAATAAACTTAAAACCAAAACCTAAGATCAATTTGTCGAATTCGAGCTAGACGTTTTAAGGATTATAGATTATAAATATTCGTTTTATCGAATAAATAAATCGTTGAATAGGATAACCGTAAATAAATAAGAATCATTGTACGCAATACGAGTTATATAAATGATATTTTTATATTGTGTATGTGACATCCCCAATTTCACGGCCAGAAAAGACCGATTTCGTTTATGCTTTTTAAAATAAAATCAGAGTAATCATTTGATTAAAAGTGTTACGGAATTTGTTCCCAAAACCAAACATGATAAAATGTTATCAAATCATTTCCGAAGAAATGTATTTTAATCACTTAAACCATTGGGATGTCATTGTCAATACAAAAACATAAGCATAAACAAAACTTACATTCATTTACACTAGTGATCTACTTCTCTTTTAATCTCTCAGTGTAAAGCAACTTCGTATCGATACCTGTGATACAAATAAACTGAGTGGGTCAGGCTTGGGAGCCTGGTGAGCATATAGGGTTTTCAACCCACAATAAATAATAAACTTATTAAGTTCTCAATCAACAATAAATTTATTAATTCCATCAACAAAAATAACCCTAATTACCCATTCCCATTATCCTTACTTTACGTCCCTAAAACAACTATCACAAGGGACCTAGCCTAAGGATTATCACTAGGGGTGACAACATTGCTTTGGGGGTTCCGCAGCAAGTTATGTCAAATAAAACAAACATCGGGGTGACAACATTGCTTTTCCTCAGCAAGTTATGTCAAACAAGACATCCTAACATAAAACAACCAACAAGATGACAACATTGCTTTCCTTCAGCAATTTATGTCAAATAGGCACGAAGTCACATCGTTGCCATGTGCTAGTCCATAGCTCTTATTCATCGACGGTATTTCCCACGGGAGTTTTCCCCGCAATACATGTCAATGGTTTTTCCA